AATCTCACTGTCGTAAACTACATGTCAGCACCTGACACATGCATTCCAGAGATTGTGTTTGTCTGTGAGTGGTTGGGTGAGTAAATGGGAAGAAGCTCATCATACTAACTCTTTCAGACGTTCGGATTTGGGACAGCACATGGAAGGACTTACCTCATGCTCCACATACGCACCTACACTTACTATGAGAACTCACTCTTGCTCCTGACAGCAGCTGACTCACTGTCTGGATTCAACAGTTCAGTCTGATTAATGCAGACCTGCGTTTCCACTACTAGCATTTGAGGGGCTTGCAGTACAAGTGCTGTTTGAGGATCCATTTTAGCTTTTCGCATCATAATTTTTACTGCATGGACAACAGAGTATGGAAGCCTGTATCCACCTCAAAAGTAAAAAATGAAAAAGGTTGTTGTGAGATAAAGTTTAAACTATGAAATAAAGTCACAACAGCAAGATACAAAAGCAAATCATGAGATATAAAGTCGCAATTATGAAATACAAAAAACCACAGATATAAAGTTGCAATTGTGATGATAGAAAATTACGTGGAGATTTAAAGTCACAATTACAATAAACAGTCACAATTACGAGATATGAAGTTGCGATTGTGAGACATGAAGTGAGATATAAAGCTACATTGTGAGATAAAAAGTTGCAGTTTTGAGATATGAAGTCACAATGTGAGGTATAAAGTTGCAATTCTATAAAGTAAATCGTATTGTGAGATAATTAAATTGTGTGATAAGTCGTGTGAGAATTGTGAGACAAATCTGCATTTTGAAAAATTAAGCCCCATTGCGAGATAAAAGCTCACAATCGTGATACAAAAACAATGTGCGATTCAAAGTCATAATGTGACGTATAAATTTGCAATTGTTAGATACGAAGTCCCATCGTGAGATATAAAGTTGCTTTTTATTATTATTATTATTCAAAGGTGGAAACAGGATTCCATAGCAGATATCAGATCCTAGTTCGGTATGATTATTGAGGCATTACAGTTACACAGGCCAGGTTTAGAGGTCAGCAGACCCGCTTTAAATCAATGCAGCATACACACGCAACTCTTCCAACGCTCAGAAGCAAAGCTTCCAACATGAAAATATTTATGTAAGACATTCCATCAGTTTGCCTCGCAGCAATTCCTCCAGAGGCAAAGTTACAGTTTGAACGAACACAGAACGCTCAGATGACTAAAACACCATCAGGCCACAATGACATCTTTATGTCTTGTATATAAAAACAGAGCATACACATAAAGATCAACACACATCTGTATGCATTAGCAGACCGGGAGACCATTCTGGATAAACCGTTTTGTTTGCAGAGAGTGAGCGAGAGTGTGTGCGTGCAGTATGACAGGTGTGTGGGGCAGGTGCATGCAGTTGTCCCTGTGCTGTCATAGTGCATTCACCTGCTCACCTGCCACCCAGCAAACATCACAGTTACAAACCAGTGAGTCACTCCTATTCATGGGAAATGAAGCACCGCTTTTCCTAATAAAGCATTTCAACAGCTTCAAATAGTATGAGCCATCAGATTACACCGAAGTTGTGTCCCAAATGACATACTATATACTATGCACTATGTACTCAATCATCTAGTGTATAATTTTATATGGTTATTTTATCATCCAACATAGGAGTCTGATAGCCCCCCCCCTCCCCCCCAAGATGTGGATGAGTTTGTTTCTTCATCCAAACAAATTTGGAGAGGGTGCCGTCAGAATGAGAGTGCAAACAGCTGATAAAAACATCACCATAATCCACACGACTCCAATTCCTTAATGAACAATACATTCACAAGACATTAATTCATGAGACATTAATTGATCGACTGGAGGATTACTTGCAGATTATTGTGATGTTTTTATCAGCTGTTTGCACTCTCATTCTGACGGCACCCATTCACTGCAGAGGATCCATTTGTGAGTCTTTTCCCCCCATTTTTTCATAACTGTTCCGAATCCAAAATGAGTGAGCATGAATCAAAGCCTTTGTATAAACTTAAATTATTTTATTGGAAATTGATTTGGACAAATGAAAAGAGACATGAAATATGAAAAACGGTATGCTAAAAAAATTGCACTGAACTCATTCAATTTTAAGAAAACATTTCATGCACAAATTGTGACATCAATAAATTGTTACATATTATAGTCAATACGTCCACAAGAATAGTGGACAGCATATGAAAAAACATTGTTGGCTATTTACTGAGAAAGTCCTTTTCTTCACATCAGATAAAAATACAGAAGTGTTGCATGTCATCACTTGAAAAAACACTGAGGTACAAAAAAACTACCAAAAGTAGAATGGCTTTGGTTTCAATGGTCCAATCATTCGTTTTAATAATGCAAAACGACAGGACTTCAATACTCTTTGGTAAACTGGAGTGCATTTTAAAACTCAGTCCCTGTACAACAAAAGGAAAAGTGATAAAGGAGAGTAAAAAAAAATTACGTGGTGAAAAGAACAAACATTAGTAAAAACAAGTGATGGACCTTGTGCATGCAGGTTAAAACCCACTAAAACCAACTTTTAAAAAAACAACACGGTCAACTGTGGTCCATCACAACTTTCTCCAAGTGTGTTTCTAGAGAACTCGGTAGACGCCACCTGTTATCAGAGATGTGACATTCAGGGCCAGAGCACCTGTTAGCACACTGCCTCCGCACCACAGAACAGCTGTCTGTCTGTGTGCTTATGTTTGCGTGTGTGTGTGTCATGCTGAAAGACATACCCTACATGTGAGCCCACCCCCAACCTGACAGCAGTTGTCCCTGGTTCAGGACTCCTAGCTGAACAGCTATTATACTTTAAACATTCATAATTCCTTCATTTGAAGTAATTTGGTTTGGAAAAAAGTCTGTGGCATTTGGAAATGTATTGACCGTGTTATGTTTAAGAAGTCCGCTGAAATGTCACGTCATCCTTCTCCTGTTGCATATTGCATCTACGTGAGAGTGATGCGCACGGTCATTATTATCTCACAAGGCACCGTGTCTGAATTAAAATAAAATGGCTCCTGCGGACCCGGCGTGCTCAGGCCGTGGAGGGACAGCAGCCGGCCGCACTGTGTTTCTGCAGCAAGGACATGCGGCTGAAGGTGCGAGAACAGGTGCTGCACTGGTATTTCTTCACATCTGCGTGGGTCTGCAGGTGCGCGCGCAGGTTAGAACGGTCCGCGAAGGCACGGTTACAGTGTGGGCAAGAGAAAGGACGCTCACCTGTGGGGAAAAGAGAGAGAGATTAAAACTACAGTTAAATGTATGCACTTTGTAATCATAAATGTCCTTTCTAAAAGTAAATATTCTTGTAAAAAAAACAATACTAGCGCAATAGCTAACAGTCACATGGTAAACTGATTGAATCAATCACAAGTACACAAAATAAGTGGCTACTCAGCAAGGATGATAACAAGTGCTCCCTAGCATTCTTGATCAACTTATCTCTGCTCTCACACTAGTGATTGATAAGATTGTCCTATTGTGTCATTGTTGAGGTCAACACAATGAGTGATCAATGAAAAGCAATTCTATTGAGGGCAAGCTCACATGACTGAGTGAATCACTAAACTAACGGTACTGCATTAATGAAATTATTGAGAAACATTTTAGAGACTTCCAAAGAAAAATGTAAGATATTTACTTTGTGACACCTTAAATTATTATAAAAAAACATTTAAGAGAAAAAATTGTGGACCCCCTGAAATTCCACAGCAAAAATAGAAGATATTTACTCTGATAATAAAAAAAAAAACGGAATTAATAAAAAAAAGAAAAAAAAAAAAAGGAAAATTCTAAAAGAAATTGGAAGACATTTACTCAGCTTAATCTTTAAATAAATCAGCAAAAATGAACAAAAAATCTTAAAATAAATATCATTTTGAAAAACTTGACATTTCCAAAGCAAAATGAAAGATTTACTCTGCTACATCTTTAAAAATAAATAAAGTAAAAAAAAAAAATGCAATTTTCAAAGCAAAATGGAAGATATTTACTCTGCTATAATTTTTTTTAAATAAATAAATAAAATTTAACTTTCAAACTTTTCATGCAAATCAGCATGAACCAAATTTGATGTTACTAACTGATGAAATAAGCCTTAAAGTGAGAAAACATTTTGTAAGTTTGAATTACCTGTATGCGTGCGAATGTGTCCTCTTAACAGCCAGGGTCGCGAAAAGGCCTTTCCACAGGTGGGACAGACGCATGGTAGTGTGTGTGAGCGGATGTGCATCTTCAGGGCACCGAGACTGTTGTATTCTTTGGGACAGTGCTTGCAGAAGAAGGCCGGTCGAGTGGCTGGGACAGTGGCCTCGCTCTTGTCCTCTCTCTGTCCTGCCCTGTTCTTGTTGCTGCGCCTCGGCCTGCTGGTCTGTTGGGGGTGGTAGGTGTCTGAGGAATCTGGGCTCGGTGGGTCAGACGTGCGTCCTTCATCTTCTTCCCCACTGCTGCTGCAGCTGACGCTAGACGGGGAGCTGAGGTCCAGCGGGCCCTGGCTAGTGGAAAGGGTGGATGGGGATGTGGGATCGTGTAGGGAAGGTAGCAAGCTGACGTCCCAAACCAGACCAGTGGTCAAGCAAGTTACTGGGAAGTCACTGGTGACTGCTGGAAGTTCTGCTAGTGGGTATCTGTCTGGCAAAGTATCTGATGGGTGAGAGAGAAAGAGAAAATAAGTTCCTAATGTATTTACAGCCATTATAGACATGTGGCTATAGACTTGATAGTTTGCAATATAAGTGATTGCCAATGAAAAGCACAAGACACAAGTAGAAACTCGGAAAACACGTGCATCTCACATGCAACCAGGTCCAATGAAGAAAAGGAGTGGTGTGCTTTTCTTATGTGTGTGTATATATTATATATATATACACTATGTCCAATTTATCGAAGCTTGATGAAAACTCGAACAAATCTATTTTTAAGTTTTACTCTTGCAAAACAATTTACGTTTAGATCGATTCGATTTTTATTTAAAAAAATTAGACCAAAACTCACCGTTCTGACATTCCAACTCGCTGTAGTTTGGCCTCTTGCTGGTGAAATACTTTTTTACCAGGAAAGACCGAGGCATGCTGAACTCTGAAGTTTTAACAAATCCAGTCCAAGGGGTAAAATCTCGCTGAAATCGCTCCACTTCAGATAGTCCGTTAAATGTAGCGACCTCGCCAATCCGCAGTTCTCCTAACGTGAACACTGATCTGAACTGGACTACAATTAGTGAGTCTGTGCTTATTTAAAATAGTCTGACAGAGTAAATGGGTATACGTCCATTTGGACCCGCCCAAAAGAACTGCCTACAGCAATCGCTGTCGTCAGTGTTTCATTTAATTACCCAGCACTTGACTGCTGCCTAGGTGTGAATGTTCCAAAGCACACTTCGCTTAATTCGTGCCCATCAAGATCATGTAAATCAGCCATTCTAAATGCATTGTTTACTTCGCGGCTCCAAGCCAGTGTGTTAAAAGCCAGATCATTGTTCATTTGAATTAAAGCTTTTGTGAAGGAACTGTTTGTCATTTCCAAAGTCTGCACAATTAAGGACAATCGAATTAGTGTGTGCAGCATAAATCTACACAAGTCAGCTTCCTATCAAAACACATGCTGGATTTCGTTTGTGGAGATGCAGCGTTTAAGAATGAAATGTTCACTGTCATCAAGTTTTGTTTTAACGTCAAGGCCATTAAATATCATGCAATAAAATGTATGGGCTCTGGATATGTTTTACTGCCTAATTTTGATATATCTGACAAGTGCACTTCAACTGATGTGAAGACGAGCTTGGAATGAGTTTGGTGGGTGAAGTACAAGTTTTATTATGGCGCCACCTTGTGGTAATTTTTTTTCTCAGTTTGGTTGTGCAGTCGCTGTATGTCACTGTTATGAAAGGTCCATGAAATAAATTTATGTCCACAATGTTTGTTAAAGTGCACTAAACTCAAAAATCTGCTATTAAGTGTTTAGGAGGCAAGTCAAATTCCACTTAAAGTAACTTATAACTTTTAACTTATTATTAGTAAAACTTTCCCAGGATTGAAAAATGTCGTGTTGTTCGGTAATTTTAGGCCGGAAAAAAATGTTTTGAATTTTATCAAAAATTAATCGCTACGTCATCAGAATTGTACAAAACTCGGTGACTTTTATGGCAGTCGCTGTGCCCCCAAAAAGTCATATTTGTCTTGTTCGCGGTCAAAAATGACCGCCATTGAAAATGAATGTGAAATACGCAAAAATATGAAAATACAGAGAATTTTTTTACGATTCAGAAAAAAGTGCACTTCAATGAAGGGGTGACACTCAAAAATATCAAGAGTGCAAAATAGACACACTCCACCCATGAACATAAAGCATGTAACATAAAGCATGTTTTTGCAAATGCGTGAAATAAAATCAATAATTCAGCTACAATGCAGTAAAAAAACACAGACACCAAAGAATGGGTTACACTTTAAAACATAAAAAATACAAAACAGACACACACACTCAAACACACACTCCCCTTACTCACAGACACACAACACACTATTATACACACACAAGTGAAGTGGTGTGGCTGTAACAATATGGCAAAACTGAGCCAGAAGACTCAAATAAGAGGTTGAAATCAGATTGATTAACCTCTGATAAAGCATTTAATTTTGATGTTATGTGTAACAAAATGTTTTTCCCTGTGTTCCGGTTTGACTGTAGTAAAAATTAATGCAGAAACTGACATTTCAAAACAACATTTAAAAAAAAAATCTAAACCTTTACAAAAAGATGTCTTTGATCATGTCTAAATATATATCCAAATCCACAACTTAATAAAAACAAGTATGTATGTCTAAAAACAACGAGAGAATTTATAAGCCTTTTATATAAAGCTATATATAGGAATCTAGTGGCTAAACCATTGAATTGCAGATGTTTTTCTTTTTTTACTCCCACCAGATGGCACTAATCTGCTTTCAAAAATTGGGATTTTAAAGGCATTGTCATTGAAAAACTCCCATAATTGAAAGAAAAGTAATATAAAAAATATTAGAAAAAAGTATTATTTTCAATGGGAAAAATGTATCATAATTATTGCATAAATATTCATTAGTACCATGAAATTACAATATCTTTCCGCATTATTTAGCAAATGAGTCTTTATTCACTCTAAATGGCACCTTCTCCACTAATTTTGATAAGTAAATATAACTTTCCTGCAGCTAATTTAATTAAAACAAACGCATTTCGTTCACACGTGTTGTTCGGGTCAAAAGTTATGGAGGACGAAACCTGCAAAAACAATAAATAAATAAATACACAAATAAATAAACAAATGTGTGCATAAATACACGTATTCTTGTTTAAATACATAAATAAATAATTAAACATGTGATGAAAGTAGGCAAATAAATAAAATAAATTGGTGGGCAAATGGAAAATGTTTAAGGAAATGCTAAACTCATCCTAACTATTTTCCTTTGATCACTCATTTATTTCTGAATGTAGTTCCACATTTATTTTTCCTCTGAGCAACATGCTAATGAGAGGGTGTCAATTATGCAAGAGTAGGCGGGTCGTGTGTGACCTGCTTGAGTGTTTGCCTGCACATGCCTATTAACTTCATCAGTCAAGGGGACTGATTATTATCTTACACTTTTTCATAGGGTTAGTTTTGTAGTTATAATCATGAGAGAGCTAAATCATAAAAGATTTTAAGTGGCCAATGTAAAATATTAATGCTTACATAGCTCTTAATTGCAATACTGAACCGTTATTTGCTTAATAAACATACTTTTGTCGCCTGTATTTTCTGTTCTGATAACTAATGGGAAAAAACTGTCTGTTCCTCGATTAAACCACTTCATACCAGTCATCTCACGATGACCATGGGATACTGATATTACAGTTGTCTCTAGCTGGAGACTCAATCGGGTTACAAAAAATGACGTCAGGAAACGACACTGGCCATTTCGTTGGGTCGTTTGTAAAGTCACAGATACTGTACGGACAATACAGCTCAGTTTTTTATGTATCTTGCTCTGTTGAACGGAAAAAGTGACTTTACATAGGCCATACTGGATTAACACCATGCATTTCCTGTCAGAGTGAAAGGATTGTTTTCCCCATGCAGCGCCCCCAGCTATGACATGACCCCGACCAAGTCCATGGTTGACACCCTCTCATTAGCATGTTGTGCAGAGGAAAAATAAATGCGGAACTACATTCAGAAATAAATGAGTGATCAAAGGAAAATAAATAGGATGAGTTTAGCATTTCCTTAAACATTTTCCATTTGCCCACCAATTTATTTTATTTATTTGCCTACTTTAATCACATGTTTAATTATTTCTATATGTATTTAAACAAGAATTTGTGTATTTATTTGCACATTTATTTATTTATTTGCACATTTATTTATTTATTTGTGTATTTATTTATTTATTTATTGTTTTTGCAGGTTTCGTCCTCCATAATTGTAAGATGTTGGTGTTGCACCATTCTGATGTAATGCTGAATGTTAAGGGCATTTAGCTTCAGTCACTATTGACTTTCATTGCATCTTTTCCATACAATGTTAGTGAATAGTAATATTCGTAATATTCCCTTTTTTGTGTTCCACAGAAGATAGCAAGCCATACTGGTTTGGAACTAAAGGCAAATTTTAATTTCTAAGTGAACTATCCCTTTAAAAACTCCTTGTTCATACTCAGTTGCTGCGGCAGATTCTGCGGTTTTCAAATTTTGTTACTACGCCCCTCGACATGTCAAACTACATTTCTCCACGACTGAACTGGAATCAGTTTAACTAACGGTCGACCAATTAGTTTTATAGTATAGTGTTAAAAACTGTTCCCAGGTCTGTTATAGATGAAAAACGGATAATACGCCCAGTTTAAATTCTGGCTCCACCCGTCGGTTTGTGTATGAATCTTATTGGACAAGCGCGCAGATGTGGGCGGGGCTACATCACTGGCTTTTTGTTTCTATAATCAGCTGTTCGTTGGGATCTGTACTGCGGTGCTATAATTTACGTGGAACAATTTCCAAAAGCTAAAAGAAACTAAACAAAAGAGCATATATTCTGCACCTCTACATTGGAATAAACAACTAAAGATTTTTTTAAACGATTTAGACGTCGGAAAATCGGTTGCTCTGTAAAGAAGCAGGTAGTATGTTTTGCTTAAGCCTCCATTTAAACTGTGCGAGAAAATCTGTAACGTTATATTCCCAAATTAGTTTTATTTGTAAATATGTATGTATAGAAATTTGTATAAATGCATACATGCTCGCATCATATTTCTTAATGATAATCGAAGTTTATAACGCTGCTTCATCAGAATCAGAATGAGCTTAATTAATTCAGTAATGTTTACAGTATTTTTCATTTACATTTCCTCTACAGGACACTTTGTTTTAGTGTGTATTGGTAGCCTATTGCACAAACGGATAAATAAGTGGCCCTTGTGTTTTCCTCGACATGTCTTTTTAAATGATTAGTGTTCAAGGAGAGGGAGCAAAACAAACTACCCCAAAAAAATCATCCTCCACAAACGGTTCTTTGATAAATGCTACTGAATGAACCCTGCATAAAAACCATCGAAATTAAACCATTTCCACATGATGCAGATGCTGTGTTCTCAGAGAAAATGAATGTATTGTTTTAATGGCACACCCCCCAGCTGGAGGACGACAGATGGACGCCAACAATGGAGCTGGGGTCCAACAATGCACTCCCAAAATTCAGTTCATCCATCTTTGTGGCCATATGAACAAATATCTCCAGATATAGGTTTTACATGGCAGTCATGTTTTGAACATATCTTTAACTAAAGAAGCATATATATTTCTGCTAAAAACACAATGTAATCTGAACGTTTTTAATTTCTAACTGTGCATGGATGGGTGAAAAGCCGTTGTATTTGGAAGCTTGTCTTTCCTTTTTTATTCATCACTACTTTACGGTTGCAGGGCCTAAAAAATTTAATTTCAAAATGAAGCCTGACAGAGGAGTGCTTTATGGAAGACTGACCTCAATATGAGATATGAGCCTAAAATAGCTTTTAGCCTGGTTTTTATTCAAGTCTTGATTAGTGGGTATAATTCAAAACAGGGACTGCATCATAGTGTTCACATTTATACTAACATTTCTCCTCTACCCAAGGTCTGGCTGAAGTCATACTGCTGAGATCTGCTCGTAACACCTGCCAGAGTGAAGAAGTGTGAGACTCGTGTACCAGACAATCGAGTTCACCATCAATTATTCAGCACAATCACACTTAATTTATAACAATGTTTCAACGGCTCA